ATTGTCATTTGGTATTAAATTCATGCTGGAGGATCTAGCAGCCGCCTGGTTCCTCCGGGGTGCTTGGAAAACTGCCATCCAAAAGGAAGGTGGGAAAGGACCCGCTACCCCCTGCATGCATGCAGCTCTACCTGAACTGAGAGCCCCGGTGCTTCTAGCTTCTGTGGCTGAAGCCATCTGACAGGAGGCAGGAAGCAGCCAAGCTCCCTTCTATCACGTCTGCATCCAGTCCAGCTGAAGCACACACTCGGGGAACATTTCATATTTAACTTTGTCATTCGGATTAGGTTTTTATTCCCGTGAGGCACATTGGAATCTGCCTTTGGCTGAAAAGCAGGATGGATAGGCCAATAAATAAAACACGGTGCAAGCCGTTAAAAGGGTGAATAGTTATGTCCTCCTGGGTGAAAATATTTGGGTAGAGAGCCCTTTTGAAAGGTGGAATCCACTTATCCTATCTTATTTTAAGGAGCTATGGGATAGCTGCTACTCTCCCTCCTCAGTCGGGGGGGTATAGCAGAAAGAAGAAATGATATTCAATCAATTTGTTAATCTATTACATTATTATCTCATCTGCCCTTCAAGGAACTTGGGGCAGAGAACGTAGTTCTCCCTTCCTCTGTTTCATCTTCACAACCATCCTGCAAGGTAGGCTAGGAAGGAGAGTGAGTGACTGGCTCAAGGTGCTTCATGGCAAAGTAGGAAAAGTTTACTCCTCGTTGAAGTAGGAGTGTGAATGATACAGAATCGAGGTATTTCTTGATCAATGTTCCTGCAGAGATCACTATTCCTGCTTGGAAAAGTAGCCGAATAAGCACCGCAGACCGCAGAGACCAATTTACATGTTACATTTTTTGGTGCAAGATTTAGGTATATACATTTAACCAGAGGTGATGGCAGGCTAGTACAGAGTGCCAGTCAAAAAGTGGCCCAAGTGATACCTCCTGTCTTATTTATTTAGTCACTTCATTTATATCCTGCCTTTCTCCCCAAAGAGGACCCAAAGTGGCTTACATCCTTCTCCTCTCCTCCGTTTTATCCCCACAACAACCCTGTGTGGAAGGTTAGGCTGAGCGTGTGTGATTGGTCAAAGGTCACCCAGCAAGCTTCCATGGCCGAGGAGGGATTCGAACATGGAGTTTACCAGATCCTTCTGTACCACACCAGCTCTCAGGAAGAAGGTGATGGGAAAGCCAGTTTGGTGTAGTGGTTAGGAGTACAAACTCTAATCTGGGAGAACCAAGATTCCGCTCCACGTGCAGCTGCTGGTGTGACCTTGGGTCAGTCATAAGTTCTCTCAGAGCTGTTCTCTGTCAGTCAAGGTCATTCTTGAGAGAGCTTTCTCAGCCCCACCTACCTCACAAGGTGTCTGTTGTGGGGAGGGGAAGGGAAGGGGATTGTAAGCCGCTCTGAGTCTCCTTCGGGTAGTAAAGCACCGGGTATAAAGCCAATCTCCTCCTCCTCCTCCTCTTCTTCCTCCTCCTCTTCTTCTTCTTCCTGTTAACCTGGAGAGCCACTGCCAATCAGAGTAAACAAGACCAACCTTGATAGACAGACCAACGGTCTGATTCAGTGAAGGGCAACTTCATTTCTTTTGTGTGAAGGTGTTCAGAGTTTCAGAGGAGAAGAAAGAGATTTGCAGAAGCAATTTATGTGTCACACATTGTGTGACAGCAGACACCATGTACTTGTTAGAGTGTGGGACTAAGATCTAGGAAACTTGCATTCAGATCCCCCGCTGCACCAAAAAGGGACAACAATATATTACACCCTCATCAGGCAGGTTTCAGAAGAGGCCAGTGTACAACAGATCATTGTCAAACACTTCTCCAGCCGGCTTATTCAGGTATAAACGGCCCAACCAAAGCCCTGTATGTGTCATTTGTCGACCTGGCCACAGCTTTTGACTCAATTGACAGGGGGCGGCTTTGGGAGAAGCTCGCTCAGACCAACGTTGATAAGAGACTTGTGCTTGGGGAACAACAAGACAAACAGTGCAATCCTAAAAACATTTTCCTGGGAGTAAACCCCACTGAACAGACTTCCATATGATGCTGAAAAGAGCTGATTAAGATTGCTCTCAAAAGCACCTTTTTGAGCGCGTACAGAGTGCTTTCCCCCTCATCACTAAGTCTCATGAGCCCACACCTGGAATTAAAGTCAATGCCTCCCCGGTCTGGAGATGGTGGCCATAACCCAGAACCCCTCCTTTAGATATTAAACCTTGGGATTCTGGCTTTCCCATCCGTCTCCTGCCCTGTAAGCCCTTGCCGTCTCTGGTTCGCTTTCTCTCTTCTTCCCCTCCCTTTTTCATTTAAAAGCTGTTAATAGGAAACACATTTTTTTCTCCCTTTTCTGGTGTTCCCACCAGAAACCTCAGACTGTTGGGCAAAGGTGAGAACTTCTAGCAATAAACTGGGGGCCGAGGCAGTCCCTTTTGGCTTGCCCAGCCTGTGTTGTTCAGGGCAGAATGCCCCCAGCTCTATCTGACAAGTTCATTTAACAGTAATTCTCTCCCCCCCGCCCCCCCCTCCAGATCTGTTCACTGCACCTCAGCTGCATAAGCAGGCTGTTTAATGACTGGGAGTCTCTCGTCTCAGGGCACTTAACTAGGCTGACGGGTACGGGGCATGTTGAGCTTGGAAATCAGGATCCCTTTCCAGTCAGCCTGAAAATATGTCAGGTATATATTATTCTCCACTTGGGTATTTGCAAAAGGAACACCTCCACCCCTCCCCAAAACCCTGGGTCATGAATATATAAGTTCAGGCAGTCCTCATAAAGCCAGCTACGGAGCCAGGCCAATAGCCAGGATTTTGTGGCTTGTGGGGAAAATTTTTTTCTTGGTGGGGCTGAACTTCTCAGTGCAGAAAGAAAAGCCAGTATTCTGAAGATTATGACTCAGCTACTCTTCTCTCTCTGAGTCTTCTCAAGCTGTCTGATCTGCATAGGGGTTCTTATGCTAGCAATCACCATTAGCCTATCAACCATTTAGCCAAAAGAAAACTGTTACCAGGATAGATCTCTAAATTGCAACCTGTCACCTACTTTAGATGACAGTTCACAGCTGCTGCAAGTTAATCTCTTCTGCCAGCCTAAGCAACAGTTCTGATAACAAGCCAGCAGGTGGGGGGTGATGACTTCTATAGTCAAGTAAAGCTAACACTTTGGCAGAAAAACTCTTTTAAAGGACACCAGTTTGTTGACACAAAGTTAGAAGGGATCCTAGAGGTCCCCTACTTCAGTCCCCTTGCTCAGTGCAGGAATTAGTCAACTACGGCACCCCACTCTGCTTAAAGGAGCACACATCTTTTAAAATGTTTTAAAATGATTGGGGGGAAAAACATTCACAGGAGAAATTCTTGTGGGACTGTACCTTTAAGAAAGGGGTGGAGCCCCCAAAAGCCACACCATAGCTACGGGCCTGCACAGAGCAGTGGTTACATTTTTAGTATTTGATTTGAGTGGCCCAGGTTCGAATCCCCATTCCCCCATGGTAGCTAGCTGGATTCCCTTAAGCCAGTCATTCTTTTGGCCTGACCTACCTCAGTGGGTGGTTGTTGTGAGGATAGAGGAAAAATTAAGGAGAGGAGAACAATGAGCCCGTTAAGGGGAGGGCAAGATATAAATCCAAATAAATAAATAAATGTTGCAAGAGGCTCTGTGTCTCCACTGGGGTCAAAAGCAGGGAATGAATGGATGGATGGATTTCCAAGTTTACTTCCTATAATTAATCAGGTGCTGGGAACAGGGTTATCAACTTTCAAGTGGGACCTGGAGTTCTCCCAGAATTACAACTGATCTCCAGATGACCGAGATCGTTTCCCCTGGAGAAAAAGGCTGCCTTGGAATGTGGGCTGTATGGCATGATGCCCCACTGAGGTCCCGCCCTCCCTTCCTCTCCAGGCTCCAGCCCCAAACCTCCAGGAATTTCCTAGCCTGAAGTTGACAACCAGAGCTGAGAAGGACCTTTCTCTGCCCACTTAGACTGGATAACAGAGTTATATGGATCAATGTTCTGAGCCAGTACAAAGCAGTTTCACAGGGTGATGGTGATGATGATTCTGCTACAGTGTACCACTCCTGCAGACACATTCAGAAAAATCTCCAGTGAGGTGTAATGGTTATAGTGCTGGACTAGGACTTGGGTCCCATATAGTGACCTCCTTTTGATCAAAGCAGGAAGGGATCAATGGGTAGACCCAGCCAGTAAACAATTAATAAATCTGGTGTTTTCTCATATCCTGGTGATAGTCAATGGGAATAAATTGGTGGACCCTGAAGGGGCGCTTACTTGTTTTACCCATAAAGGGGCCAGCACAGTAGATTACTGTCTGGTGCCGGAAGAGGTGTTGATGAAATTTGATTTCAAAGTGGGGGGCTTCCTTTGGGGGTGGCCATCTCCCTCTTATTTCAACTTTGAACACAGATAAACAAGCAGTTCAGTCACCATCTTCAACCTCTCATGCACAGCAGATCAACCAGAGAATAAAAATAAGGGAATGGACCCCGCTGATATCACAAGAAATTAGTGGTAGTTTATCTAACTGACAGGGAAACTTTCCAACCAGAAGAGTTAGCAGATGTACCTGCTCCCAGACTGCTAATGGTAACGGGGGTAACAGGGGTGGTTACTTCTAAGGAAATGGCAAAGAGGAAAACATGATCCAGCGACGCACTCACATCAAAGTAATGCTCCCTTTTCCATTATTTCTTAATTGGCTGGAGAGACCAGTTATGTAGTTTGACCCTCAGATAAGGGATGCCCCCCCAAAAAAGGAAATGCCTTCTCATACATAGCCAGGAAACCATTCTTTCCTGTTTCCTCCTTCTGTTTGCAGCCCTGTTCCCTTCAAAGCCAAAAACTCTCTTGTAACTGTAATGTTAAAATCCCCCTCCCCAAATCTCCCCAGTGTTTTCTGTAACCATTGCAAAATGTACTCTTTGTTTGTGACTAAATTTCTTTCTTTTTCTCTTTGTTTCCCTTCCCCCCCCCCAAGGTAGCTCATTGCTGTCTTACAACACACCAGCCCACACAGAGCCTTCCTCACGACTCAGCACCAAAGAAGGTGAGTTTCTTTCACGTAGTTATTTCACATCTTATTAATCATTTCTCTAGTACTGAAGTTCAGTTTTGAAATTGACAGACTTCTTCTTCTTTATAGTTTTTACTTCTGTAAAGCCAATCAAACCCATATGCTCTTACAGTCCCATCCTAAGCATGTTTACTTGGAAGTAAGTCGGCTTAAAATAATGTATTTCCAAGCAAATATAAATAGACTCAGTTTGTTACAGATAAGGTTGAAACCACAGTTCTGGTACCCATTGGGAGATTATGAGGGAGATTATACCAGATCGACAACGCATCAGGACAGTGAAATCACTTCCTGTGCACACCGGAAGTGATGTCATTGAGTTGGCATGATTCTCTAGAATTCATCAAAAACTCTATGACTTAACCATAGAGTTTGGGGCGAATCCTAGAGCGATGCAATGATGTCACTTCAAGTTCATCCCAGAAGTGACATTGTGGCATTGATGCAATACCAAACTACACCCCCATTTTTCTTCCACCTCCATGTCAAGCAGTTTCAGGAAGCAGGGGGATATCCCCTGCCCAAACCTGGGAAATTCTACTGCTGCATAAAGACTGGGGGGGTGCCCGATTCCCACATCCTGCAGCAGCTGACTCCATTTCCCCTAGCAATCACTTAATCTAAATCCCAGCTTCACCCGGGGTTTATAAGCCTAACCCTCTCCACCTACAGACAAGCCAGCCGGAGTCTGTTTCAGTTTAAGGTTTGCCAGTCCTGAGTGTGTGCGCTGCGAGCTGATGAGTTTGGCTTACGAAACATGCCTGGAACTTCGCATTACGAGAGATCCTGCCTTTTTTTCCTCCCCCAAATTGTCTAAAACTGTGTTCTTACAAAAAAAACAACCAATAAAATAAGTATTTCTTTTCTTTAAAAATGCCCTTTGTGTGGAAATATAAGCTTGTAATCTGCAAGCGTCTTGAACGTTTGGTTAAAAATAAACCCCAGACCCAGCCTTTAAACAGCCTTGCCTATGCAAAATGCTGATTCTGAAAGCCCTGCTTCAACTTGCCCGGCAACAGCAAAGCTGAATTGTAATAGCATTGCAGTAACACCTCCAGTAGATGCTCGGGCTTGGGCTTTAGATGATCCTCAGGGAGAAGAAGTTCCACGGCTTCGGGGGAGGGGGTATCATTCCTTTGCCCTCCCTAAGCCGTACTTGCTGTGGTTCCTGCAAAGAGGAGCCTCTGCAAAGGAGCTGATTATACAGTTCCCTCTTGGCTATTTAGATGCACTGAACCTCCATTAATGAAAGGGGATCCCACTCCTCGTTGTCTAGACAGTAGGTTTTGGGTGGCGTGTTCTAACCACCCTGATACGTGCACGTCAAAACTAGAATGTCTGGATGAGATTTTAAGGAGGGATTGTGTTTCTGGGCAGAATTCAGCGTGCTGGTTGTTACGTTTAAGGCCCTCTATGGCTTGTGGCTAGGTTATTTTTAGAGGCTGCCTCCGCCCGCATTGTTTGGCCTGCCAATTAAGGTCCTGTTCTGAAGCGCTGCTCTTTCTACTCCGTGACTTCAGAGGTCAGACAGGTGGCAACAGGGGCAGGGCCTTTTCTGTGGTGGCACCTCACCTTTGGCATGCCCTCCCCCATGAGGCTCGCCTGGTACCTGTGTGACTTACTTTTAGGAGCCAGGACAAAATGTTTCTGTTATCCAAGCTGGGTTCTAAATGTTTTATGGTCTGCTTCTGACTGGTTTATCAAAATCCTTTTAGGCTTCCCAGAATATATTTTATGCTATTGTTGTAATTATATTGATGGTTTTGTTTTGTACATGTTCATTGTGGTGGTGTTTATATTACTGCACACACAAGCTGTAGTAAGTCTGCAGAGATACACACTCACACAAACACACATGTTGTGGTTTCTTGCCTTCTGTTTAGAGGCCCTTTGTTGTTGTTCAGTCGCACAGTCGAGTCCGACTCTTCGAGACCCCATGGACCAGATCACGCCAGGCCTTCCTGTCTTCCGCCGTCCTTTGAAGTTTGCTCAAATTAGAGGCCCTTATTTGGTTGCAAGACCTTTTCTCTCTGTTTGGTTGCTGAGATTTGATCTAGGCCATGATCAAGGCTCCCACTAAGCTGTGGAGTCCTGTGAGCAAAGATTCTACTTTGTGAGCTGCCGGCATTAAAGTCATGAGCGAGTGATTTGGCTACTGCATACATTAATTTGCTCTGGAGCCATCCTTCCTGAGCTAAGACAAAAATGGGTGAGCCAGAGGCTAAAAAACTGTGAGCTAGCTCACACTAACTCAGCTTAGAGGGAACACTGGCCATGATCCCTGGTCAGGGAGGGCTTAAGCCTTTCCCTGGCACCATATCCTAAACAGAAATCTCCCCCCCCCAAAAAAAACCCTACTAGCCCCAGGAAGGGGGAAAGGGTATTGTACCAATAGTTTTTCTTATCTCGGTGCGGGGGTGGTGGTGTTGGTCTGCATAAAGGAAATGACTCTGCTGCTGTGTGTTTAACCTCAACCATCTGCCTTGAAGACAAATTGAGGCGCTCAAGGGTTAAAGCCACTTGCCTCAATGCCATGATCCCAACCCAAATTCAACCCCCCTCGGCTGCTTTTCATCACCAAAGTACTTACTGAAGGATGCACCCCCACCTCACTCTCCAGTTCATTTCTCCCACTCAATATAGAGCGTTCTCCGTTCATCGTTTTATCCGTCCAACAACCATGTGAGGTAGGTTAAGCCGAGAGAGGGAGAGAGTAACTGACTCAAGGCCATCTAGCAAGCCCATCTGGCAAGCTTCATGGCCGAATGGGAATCTGGACCCTGGTCTCCCTGAGCAGTCCAGCCCATATACCTCACAGGCTCTCAGTGTAACATATAGCTTGGTCTTGAAGAATAACATCCTCACCACCATGTGAATTTCCCTCCCATCATTAGCTGCTCTTGGTGGGGACACAGAACAATCTGGCCCCTACACACACACACACACACACACTGACATGAAGCACTTTGGTAACTCTCAGCCTTATCTACCTTACAGGGTTGTTGGGAGGGTATAACAGGGAATGGAGAGCCCTGAGCTCACTGGGAAAGGGGCAGGATAAAAAATTAGACTGGGGGGACTGTCCTGGTGCCGTTTTGCCCTCAGAGGAGGATGTTGTGTAATTCTACAGCTCTGCTTTTCACCTCAGCCATCTGCCTCGGAGGCTGAGAGGAGGGCGCACCCTCACCCACCCAGTGTGCCATGGATTAATGCTGCACTTTGCAGGTGCTCCTTTTGTCTAGGAAGCGGCTGCCCACTTCAGCCGCCCGTCTCCGGGCCCCTGCCCCTCCGCGCAGCCCCCAGCCCTCCGAAGAGAAAACGCGTTTGCAAAGGTAGTGACAAAGGTCCTCGCTCTCCACGTCTGACTCCCTTTCGAGCCAAAGAGTTTATCTATTTAAAACTAATAATAATAAAAGCTGGCTCAGACAAAGCAAACACCCAAACCCAAGAGCCTCTGTCTGCGAAGCAGTCCATGTACACCCATGAACCTCGCATGGGCACTCGGCGCTCTTCTGGTGCTGCGACAGGTGCGGCCGCCACTGTAAACACAGGCAGGGAAGCCAAGAGAGAGCCAGACTGTAAAAAACGACACTTCTGCCATTTCGTTCGATTGTCGCTTCGCTCATTCTCAGGGGTTGCGTTTGCATGAACAAAAGTGAACGGTGTTAGATATTTCTGGGCAGCCTGTTCAAAGGGTCATGTTAAATTTGAGCCCTTGGGAAGACTTTCTCTGATTTTTTTTCTTGCTGCATGGAAGTGGATTGTGAACAGCAGAATTAATTGCCTGAAAAAGCTGCAGGAGCGATGGGGTGGTGGTGGCTTGAGACTGATATCCAGAAAGCCCTTCCTTCAAGACCCTGATCCAGGACTTGTGTTCAGAAGCCCTTTCAGGAAAATGCTGTCTCCTTTCCCCTTCATGCAGTGCATTAAATTAAAACCAGACGAATTTATAATTACAGCAATAACAAAAGCCCTTGGTTGTCAGTTCTTGCAGTTAGGCTCGGAGAACTTATCAAATGGATCCCATGTTTGAGTTCAAAGTGACCAGGGTTATTTGCATTTTTGGTGAATATCCTTTGCTCCTTGAAGTACCTTATTGAATATCCAACCAATTCTCATTCATGGCAGATATCTAGATTTATACCACCACCATCTTGCAATGGTTGATTGGTCTCTAATTTTCCACTAAATCCAGGATGCTGAATCTTGTAAAATAACCTCATAAACATATTGCTTTATACTCCCAACTTCAATAAACAGTAGGAGATTCCAGTAATAACTTCTGCCCAGTGAGTTTCTCTGTGAAAAAAGGAGTTACTTGGTTTGTTTGCAGATATACCTGTTGAGTGTCAGGAAGCAATGCAACAATAGTGATCTTTAAAGCTTCATTGGTATTGTTTGCAACAATAGTGATCTTTAAAGCTTCATTCAGAGCAAACAGAAGCATACTGCCCTCCCCATCAAATTGAACCTTGCCAGCAAGTTGTAAAAATTTAAGTATAATTCCCATTTACTGGCCACAATCCAAATTGCCCCCCCTTTCCTGCAACACAGGATAGTTTCACTAAAACTGTAAATTGATTTTCTACCAGTTAATTGTCAGAGCCCCTCTCTAAATGGAAAGGGACACATGCAGCCTCCAACTGGGGCAAATAGCACCGGAAAACCCACACAGATGAACCACAAAGCTGCCTTATACTGAGTCAGACAACTGGTCCATCAAGGTCAGTATTGTCTACTCAGACTGGCAGCGGCTTTCTGAGGTCCCAGGCAGAGGTCCTGACTCATTTAAGTAGAGATGTTGGTGACTGACCCTGGGACCTTCTGCATGCCAAGCAGGTGCTAAACCATGGCCCAAGGGTAAGGCTGGAGCCCTTTTTTCCCTACTTGGCACCAGAAGAAGGTGCCACCATTAGCGGAACAGATCCATGGGGTCCAATTAATTGGATGTGTTCCATTTAGGAGGCCAGGTC